TGTATTGGTTTAGTTACTCTGTATTCCTAAAGTAATACATTGTATTATAACGTCTATTATGTATTGGTTTAGTTACACTGTGTTCATGGAGTAATACATTGTATTATAAGGTCTATTCTGTATTGGTTTAGTTACACTATTCATGGAGTAATACATTGTATTATAAGGTCAATTCTATATTGGTTTAGTTACACTGTATTCCTGAAGTAATACATTGTATTATAAGGTCTGTTCTGTATTGGTTTAGTTACACTGTATTCATGGAGTAATACATTGTATTATAAGGTCTGTTCTGTATTGGTTTAGTTACACTGTATTCTTGGAGTAATACATTGTATTATAAGGTCTATTCTGTATTGGTTTAATTACACTGTATTCATGGAGTAGTACATTGTATTATAAGGTCTATTCTGTATTGGTTTAGTTACACTGTATTCATGGAGTAGTACATTGTATTATAGGTCAATTCTGTATTGGTTTAGTTACACTGTATTCCTGAAGTAATACATTGTATTATAAGGTCTGTTCTGTATTGGTTTAGTTACACTGTATTCATGGAGTAGTACATTGTATTATAGGTCAATTCTGTATTGGTTTAGTTACACTGTATTCCTGAAGTAATACATTGTATTATAAGGTCTGTTCTGTATTGGTTTAGTTACACTGTATTTTTGAAGTAACACATTGTATTATAAGGTCTGTTCTGTATTGGTTTAGTTACACTGTATTCATGGAGTAGTATTTATAAATTCTGTTCAATATTGATTACACATTAATGCTTTATTCTCTGTTGGTTCAACTGCACTGTATTATATTGTTAGTGAAATATTGTATTATAAATTTTGTTCTGTATTTGTTTGGCTGTGCTGTACTACTGACCTGGCATGGCCTGGTAATTAAAGCATTCAACTCCCAATCTGTGGGTTACAGGTTTGAACCTTGTAACCAAATATGCTCACTCTTTTAGCTGTGGGGAAACTTGTCTTAATTGTAATGAGATAACATGAATATGAAAACTTGTCTTAATTATGATGACATAATTAAGACAAGTTTCCATATTCAGGTTGTAATGAGATAACCTGAATATGGAAACTTGTCTTCACTGTGACTAGATAACCTGAATATGGAAACTTGTCTTAATTGTGATGAGACAACCTGAATATGGAAACTTGTCTTCATTGTGATGAGATAACCTCAATATGGAAACTTGTCTTCACTGTGATGAGATAACCTGAATATGAAAACCTGTCTTAATTGTGATGAGATAACCTGAATATGAAAACCTGTCTTAATTGTGATGAGATAACCTGAATATGGAAACTTGTCTTAATTGTGATGAGATAACCTGAATATGGAAACTTGTCTTAATTGTAATGAGACAACCTGAATATAGAAACTTGTCTTCACTGTGACTAGATAACCTGAATATGAAAACTTGTTTTCATTGTGACTAGATAACCTGAATATAGAAACTTGTCTTCATTGTGACTAGATAACCTGAATATGGAAACTTGTCTTCACTGTGACTAGATAACCTGAATATGTAAGCTTGTCTTCACTGTGACTAGATAACCTGAATATGTAAGCTTGTCTTCATTGTGACTAGATAACCTGAATATAGAAACTTGTCTTCATTGTACTAGATAACCCAAACATGAAAACTTGTCTTCATTGTGACTAGATAACCTGAATATTGAAACTTGTCTTCATTGTGACTAGATAACCTGAATATTGAAACTTGTTTTCATTGTGACTAGATAACCTGAATATGGAAACTTGTCTTCATTGTGACTAGATAACCTGAATATGGAAACTTGTCTTCATTGTGATGAGATAACCTGAATATGAAAACTTGTCTTAATTGTGATGAGATAACCTGAATATGGAATCTTGTCTTAATTGTGATGAGATAACCTGAATATGGAAATTTGTCTTAATTGTGATAGATAACCTGAATATGGAAATTTGTCTTAATTGTGACTAGATAACCTGAATATGGAAACTTGTCTTCACTGTGACTAGATAACCTGAATATGAAAACTTGTTTTCATTGTGACTAGATAACCTGAATATAGAAACTTGTTTTCATTGTGACTAGATAACCTGAATATGGAAACTTGTCTTCACTGTGACTAGATAACCTGAATATGTAAGCACTAAAAAAATTTAAAAGATTATTTTGGTCTGTAGGAGACTCATTTAAAAACAATAAAGAAATGTAAAAGATTATTTAGGTCTGTAGGAGACTCATTTAAAATACTAAAAAAATTTAAAAGATTATTTAGGTCTGTAGGAGACTCATTTAAAATACTAAAAAAATTTAAAAGATTATTTTGGTCTGTAGGAGACTCATTTAAAACAATAAAAAATGTAAGCGATTATTTAGGTCTGTAGGAGACTGTCATTTCAAACAATAAAAAAATTTAAAAGATTATTTGGGTCTGTAGGAGACTGTCATTTAAAACAATAAAAACATTTAAAAGATTATTTGGGTCTGTAGGAGACTGTCATTTAAAACAATAAAAAATGTAAAAGATTATTTGGGTCTGTAGGAGACTGTCATTTAAAACAATAGAAGAAAATTTAAAAGATTATTTTGGTCTGTAGGAGACTCATTTAAAACAATAAAAAAAATTTAAAAGATTATTTGGTTCTGTAGGAGACTGTCATTTAAAACACTAAAAAAATTTAAAAGATTATTTTGGTCTGTAGGAGACTGTCATTTAAAACAATAAAGAAAATGTAAAAGATTATTTTGGTCTGTAGGAGACTGTCATTTAAAACAATAAAAAAATGTAAGAGATTTTTTGTCTCCTACAGACCCAAATAGTTGCTTACATTTTATTATTGTTTTAAATGACAGTCTCCTACAGACCCAAATAATCTCTTACATTTTTTATTGTTTTAAATGACAGTCTCCTACAGACCCAAATAATCTTTTACATTTTTCTATTGTTTTAAATGACAGTCTCCTACAGACCCTCATTTAAAACAATAAAATAATGTAAAAGGTTATTTGGGTCTGTAGGAGACTGTCATTTAAAACAATAAGAAAAATGTAAAAGATTATTCTGGTTTGTGGGAGACTGTCATTTAAAACAAAAAAAATTAAAAGATTATTTGGGTCTGTCAGTTTTCTTTCAAACTTTAGTTATAATTAATTAATTTGTTATTAATAATTAGCCAGTTATTTAGATAATACTAGCAGTTTCTGATTAATTGTTTTTTTTTACCAATTACTTAACTACAAATCTTTTACATCTATTATGACGTGTAAAACAGGACCAGCAAGAGAGAGTGAATCTTTGTCATACTTTAAACTAATACTTTCATGAAGCTTGTCATACTTTAAACTAATACTTTCATGAAGCTTGTCATACTTTAAACTAACACTTCCATGAAGCTTGTCATACTTTAAACTAACACTTTCATGAAGCTTGTCATACTTTAAACTAACACTTTCATGAAGCTTGTCATACTTTAAACTAACACTTTTATGAATCTTGTCATACTTTAAACTAACACTTTCATGAAGCTTGTCATACTTTAAACTAATACTTTCATGAAGCTTGTCATAATTTAAACTAATACTTTCATGAAGCTTGTCATAATTTAAACTAACACTTTTATGAATCTTGTCATACTTTAAACTAATACTTTTATGAATCTTGTCATACTTTAAACTAATACTTTTATGAATCTTGTCATACTTTAAACTAACACTTTTATAAATCTTGTCATACTTTAAACTAACACTTTTATGAATCTTGTCATACTTTAAACTAACACTTTTATGAATCTTGTCATACTTTAAACTAACACTTTTATGAATCTTGCATTTTAAAAACATTGGAAAAGCATATATAAAGCAAAAATGACTGATTTCAAACCTATTAAACTATCTAAATTTGTAATTGCTTTCTAGTTTGTTATTTTATTAATTATTTTAATGTTTATTAATATCTTATGCTGATTCTATTAAGAACTTTGCACTGTATCTGGATTTTTTTTCCTTTAGAAGTTTCTACAATTTGAAGATGTTTTAATTAATTGTTCATAAACCAGTAAGGAGGTTAACATGATGTCATTTAGGAAGAGCTATTATTTATTTATTCATCTACTAAGACCTTACTCTTTTTTCCAGGAAGAACATCAACTGCTCTATTGAAGAAAGTTTGCAGAGGTTTGAAGATGTGATGATGTTGGCCAAGCAGGAGCAGGTTAAAGTCAGGGGGTTAAGACCTTTTCTACTTCTGTTTTTAAACTATTACTTCAAATTTCATGCTTAACGATATGGTAAACTCTATGGATCTAAAATAATTTGAAAATTAAATATGTACACTCACAAAATATAATATAATTTATAATCAGTGCACTACTGTTTCAGGAAAAAGTCTAGTTGGGTCCTGTGTAACAGCTCTGAATTTAACATTTTTAATCATTTAAAATATCTTAAGGCTTCTACATTCAATAATGATAATCAAGAAATGTAATGAAAATATAAAATTAAATGTATTACTTTATGATCTGATAGTCAGAAACCAATATTTTCTTATATCAGCTTTTATGTCAGGACATGTTAGCAATTTATGAATAACTTCTTTTTGAGAACAAAAGGATCACCCTTTATCAATAGGTTTGGTTTGTTTGTTTTATTTCAAAGCTTCACAATAACACTGTCTGTACTCTGTTAAGAACAAAAGGATCACCCTTTATCAGTAGGTTTGGTTTGTTTGTTTTATTTCAAAGCTACACAATACACTGTCTGTACTCTGTTAAGAACAAAAGGATCACCCATTATCAATAGGTTTAGTTTGGTTGTTTTATTTCAAAGCTTCACAATAAACTGTTTGTATTCTGTTAAGAAAAAAAGGATCATTCTCTACCAATAGGTTTGGTTGTTTTATTTTAAAGCTACACATCCGACTGTCTGCACTCTGTTTGCTGTAAAGAATCAAACCTCAGATTTTAGTATTGGAAGTTTGTAAACTTATTGCTATTCCAAAATAATTTTAATTTTTTGCATACTTTTATTGTGAGTAATATCTTATGTTTTCTTAATTATGCATTTAAACTGTAATTTGTTACTTTGTAACCAGATATTTAAGCTGTAATTTGTTACTTTATCACCAGATATTTAAGCTGTAATTTGTTACTTTATCACCAGATATTTAAGTTGTAATTTGTTACTTTATCACCAGATATTTAAGCTGTAATTTGTTACTTTATCACCAGATATTTAAATTGTAATTTGTTATGTTGTCGCCAGATATTCAAGCTGTAATTTGTTACTTTGTCACCAGATATTTAAGCTGTAATTTGTTACTTTATCACCAGATATTTAAGCTGTAATTTGTTACTTTATCACCAGATATTTAAATTGTAATTTGTTACTTTATCATCAGATATTTAAATTGTAATTTGTTACTTTGTCACCAGATATTTAAGCTGTAATTTGTTACTTTGTCACCAGATATTTAAGCTGTAATTTGTTACTTTATCACCAGATATTTAAATTGTAATTTGTTACATTGTCGCCAGATATTCAAGCTGTAATTTGTTACTTTATCACCAGATATTCAAGCTGTAATTTGTTACTTTGTCACCAGATATTTAAGCTGTAATTTGTTACTTTATCACCAGATATTTAAACTGTAATTTGTTACTTTGTCACCAGATATTTAAGCTGTAATTTGTTACTTTGTCACCAGATATTTAAGCTGTAATTTGTTACGTTGTCGCCAGATATTCAAGCTGTAATTTGTTACTTTGTCACCAGATCTGTTCAGAAGACGTGAACTTCAATCTTCCCCATTTTCCAAATCTCATCATTACCTGTATGTGTTTAACCAAATCTCATCATTACCTGTTTCTGTTTAACCAAATCTCATCATTACCTGCATGTGTTTAACCAAATCTCATCATTACCTGTTTCTGTTTAACCATATCTCATCATTACCTGTATGTGTTTAACCAAATCTCATCATTACCTGTTTCTGTTTAACCAAATCTCATCATTACCTGTATGTGTTTAAGTGAATCTCATCATTGCCTGTTTCTGTTTAACCAAATCTCATCATTACCTGTATGTGTTTAAGTGAATCTCATCATCACCTGTTTCTGTTTAACCAAATCTCATCATCACCTGTTTCTGTTTAACCAAATCTCATCATTACCTGTATGTGTTTAACCAAATCTCATCATTACCTGTATGTGTTTAACCAAATCTCATCATTACCTGTATGTGTTTAACCAAATCTCATCATTACCTGTTTCTGTTTAACCAACTCTCATCGTTACCTGTATGTGTTTAAGTGAATCTCATCGTTACCTGTATGTGTTTAACCATATCTCATCATTACCTGTATGTGTTTAACCAAATCTCATCATTACCTGTTTCTGTTTAACCAAATCTCATCATTACCTGTTTCTATTTAACCAACTCTCATCATTACCTGTATGTGTTTAAGTGAATCACATCATTACCTGTTTCTATTTAACCAACTCTCATCGTTACCTGTATGTGTTTAAGTGAATCTCATCATTACCTGTTTCTGTTTAACCAACTCTCATCATTACTTGTTTCTATTTAACTAAATCTCATCATAACCTGTTTCTGTTTAACCAAATCTCATTATTACCTGTTTTTGTTTAACAGGCATTCTCTGTGTATATTTTATTCATAATACTGATCTACTGATGTCGTTTCATTTGACCTATTATTGTGTATGATCTGGTTAACTTGTATTTGAATACTGTTGGCTTTGAAAGGAAGAAACAGATTATTTAGCAGCTTTATTTCCAGTTTGCCCCTGAAGAAGAAAGGTCCACCTTTCACTCGGGTTATAGGGTTTTATCATCTTGAACCTACATGTTTTTCCTACATCATGAATTAGCAGCTTTATGATGCCTTTATTCAGTTGCTATGCATGATTCCCCTTTTTAAGTTTTTTATATTCTGAAAATCTCATCAAGATTCTTAATAAGACATCTCATAAATGCTTTTTCCGCCAGATAGCTATTCAAAATTCCACTATACCCAGACACCTTATCAAGGCCCCTTTGTTCCCCAACATTTTACCCAGTTTCTTTGGGCACAGAATGTAGCTCTATTAATGCATATAAGTGGTACTGTATTTGTGAGATTTTAATCAGATCTGCTTTCAGTGCCCAGTGATAGGGATACTACTCCCTCTGACTGTGTGAGTACTTAAGATGTATTATAATCAATTTATTTAAAGGTTTTTTTTCATCTAAGAGCTTCTCATTCAGAAATGTTACTTACCTCTCTGCACCAGTAAGAGCTATTACCTCAAGTACCTTGCTATATAGTTTCCCAAGCCTCAACCCTGCACATATTGTGTATTGTGTCAGCCTTTGATGTAATCATCATTAAACTATAGTTGGGCAATACTTCCTCCATATCTAGTAATTACTGAGAGAACCAGCATATGACCATAGGTTTGTTATTTTCTCAGCATTGCTTGTCTTCAGACGTGATTCTTTTCCCAGAAATTACCAAAATTTTTGGGTTTATTATTTTAAGCTTTCATTGCCATTTGTAGTGTGGTCTTTCTCTCTACCATTTGTAGTGTGGTCTTTCTCTCTTTGACATTTTCTTATTAGGAAAAAGATAAAGATTTTCAGAATTTCAGTTTAGTAGAAATTTGTTTTGAATTATTATCAGTTTGATATTTCTTTCCATCGCATTTATCATTTCAGGTGGCCCATCGTTAAGATGTTTTTGTTTTTTTATAGTACCATTTCCAGTTGTTTTCTGCTTTGGAATTACCTTTATTTATTCTCTATTTTTACCCATCTTTGTCTCTTACTTACCTCCTTGGCTGTCTGTCCATGCTACCAGTTCTTTCAGAGGCTTTACATCACAACTTTGTCAGTTTTACTGGGGAAATATGCACTTACCTGTTTTCCACCTTGCCCTCATTTTCTTCAGTTGTTACCTTGGTTTCTTTGTTGGGTTGCTTTACTTTCTAACATTTGCTTTCCTCAAGAACCATTGTGTTTCTCATATTTAGAATTTTCAGGAGATACAGCTCATCAGCAGTCATCCCTCTAATTACTTTAGTTTATTGACCCATTGGGTAACACACTTGGTTTTTTATTCTTTACAGCTTCTAGAGGTTGCTCCCTCTCCTGTTCATTTCCTCTTGTTACTTCCCATCATCCTCATCTCTCTTTGAGAATTGGCTGTTGCAGCTCTTAGAGGTTCCTTGTTTCTGGTTCTGTTCCTCAGCTGTGATCTGATGTAACTTGTTTTTTTCCCATTTTCTACTCTTGTCGACTCCTTTAGCCACGGACTAATGAATAATTCAGCTGCTATCTTGGGGATTTTACCTATCATTTCATTATCTACCTTCTCAGAGTGGGTCACCATGGAATAATTTCTTGATCCACCTCTGTAGTTTTACTTCCATGTTTTTACTTTTTGTCTTTCCTTTTAAGACTGAAGTTTAGCATTGTCATAGTTCTGTCCCACTTGAACCACCACTGGTCTTTCCTCATTTCTGGATACAGTTTTCTTAAGCTAAGGTGATTACACTTCCATATTTCACTTTTTGTTTGTTCCCAATGGCCATCTGCTCAATTCACAGTCTTTCTATTGTTGACTATGGATTCATATGTTTTACACTGGTTCTGATGGACTTTGCTTCTTGTGGCCCACTCTTCTAGTATTCTTGACAAGTGGCCTCTAATTTCCCCTTACAATATGGTTTTTGCAACTTCCCCTTTCCTTCAGGAACTGTCTTATTTGGGGTAACTGGTTTGGTCCTCTCATTCCATCTTGATTCATACCATTTATATCATTCATTTGGGGGTCTTTTTTAATTTGCATACAGGGCAGGTTTGGCCTACTCCTTTACTTTTTTTCAAACATGGAGCTTCTGATACCAAGGCTGTTATTCCTCTCCTACTTTTGGCTTGAGAGGATTCATCTTTTTTTTTAGGAACTGTTGTTTGGAATCCCTTGTTCTCTTTTTTATATATACCCATATGCATCTCCTACAGTAGGTTCTAATTCTTTATTGTATATCCAAGGGTCTAATGCATTTTTTTCATCTTTCATTGTTGTACTATTTTATTGGATTCTCCATTTCATCTGGACTTAAAGCCTACAAAAGGTTCAGCAGTAAGTCTTTGGGCTTATGAGGCTCACATATGCTGGTGTTCATACTCTTTATGAGTATGACACTGGTGCCCCTTGTGTAGCTTTGTGCTTGATGACATTCAAACTTGTGAATCAAATGTATCAACCAATACTCTTTTTGTGTAGGGTGCAGTTCTGGATATTTGAATCTCCAGAAAAGTGGTTTCTCTGTATCTTCACCTAGAGATGTTAGCTGTTCAGTGGGATTGCTATTATCTTCTTACTAGTCTTTTTGAACTTCTTATCATGATCCATTAAGACATTTCCTCTGTCATTTATTCTATCTAGTGACAGGGTGGCACTCACTCTTGGGACCTCTGTTTTCCTGCTTTAGGTTTTATTTTTCTATGGCTATCAATGTCCTATGTTTGAAATCTTGCTGAATGTGATGTTAATGATCCTTGATACATTAGTGACACATTTTTTTAACATAAGGAGGTTTAACCTAATTTGGATTTTATTTCTCTCATTACCATTTTACAATCTTAAAAGTTGCTTTCCAATGGTGAGTTTTTTTCCAGGTCCCACAACCACCTTATTTAGTGTGTGTTGTATCTTATGGAAACAGTGGAATCCTCCTTGTAGCCATTGTTGTATTCTTCACTGATATTGCACAATTTCCATATCCCTAATACATTTCATGACACCACCATGTGTGTAGTGATCATTTTGTACACATCCCCCTCCCTCCAAAAAAGTGGAAAAACAAACCAAAAAAGGGAGGGAAAAATTAAACAAACACTGGCCCAAAATTCACATCAAGTAGGTGATTTGGCAATTTCTGCACCTCTTAAAAAACAAAACAAAAACCAACAGCATCAGGTGTAGTACTGCCCTCACACTTGCTCTCTTTGGTCCTGATAATCCATTGCACTGTCTCTAATTATTTTCTGCCTATGCAAATCCCTCTCCCCATTATTTTAGTGGAGCACAGGAGAGACCTCTTCCCCAGTTCCGAGCTTCAGTATGAAGAGTTTTCTTTGTGAATGGTGCCTTCCCCTGGTAAGAGACTACTAGGACCCACCCCTCATTTGAGATGTAGGGCTGAGGTGTTACCTAGAAATGTAGTGCAGGACAACCTGTCACAATAGCTACCAAGCAATTGCAGGTGGATATGTCAAGTCAGAGGGGCTGCAGATGAGTGTTCCTCTTCCTTCCTCCTGCTCTTATAGTATGTATCTCATGTAAGTATTTGACCAAGACAAAATGGCCTATAGCCCTAGCCGCACTACACTTCCCAACATTCCACCCACACATAAAACCAAACACTGAATTTCTTCTGCTCTATTATCACAGTAAAATAAAAGGAAAAATAATTGTATAAAGAATGTTTCCTGCTAGAGATGGATGCAGCCTCCCACTGGGTGCTTCTCCCCTCTCTGTTGATATTTCATCTTTCTAACTGGCCAGAACTAGCCTTGAACAACCTTTCAGCCTTACACGTGTTAACATGTATTATTCCATCCTATGATTGAATCATTATTTGACTACAGCTCTCTACACCAACAAGAGGGCAACACATCATTCATGTGCAGAAATTTTTGCGAGGATGAGCACATGATCATAGGCTTACTCTTGATGAGGCTAATGAAATGCAGGAAGGGTAGTGCAGAGAAGTCTCCATCTGAAATGAAATGTTAACTGTCCTGTTTTGGACTTTATGGTCCTGGTGAAGAATGTTCTCTCCTTCTTGTATTTGTTTGTTTCATCTTCTATCCCACATCCGTTAATGAACTCAGAAATGTCTGTGTAGGATATGTTACAAGTTTCTTCAGTGTAGGCTTAACATTCTTGCTTTAGCTAATGGCTTATTTTCTCTTCTTCCATGAAAACAATCCTGATCTTTTTTTTCATCTGTGTTGTTATATATTTTTTTGTGTGTATATCATTCAGGAAAGATGATATAACATTGGTCCTGGCACCTGTATGCAAACGTTCTTTTCTCATTCATCCTTCTTGTTGGATATGATTTATCCCAATTTTAATCTTCTATTTTGTGCAAGTTTTTCTCTAACTCTAACTTTACTATGGTTTGGTTTTAAATTTATTCATACTTTTGTATTATTATTTGTATCAATTGTAACATTTTCATGATCATTCCTTCCATGTTCAGAAAAGAAGTACAGTGGAATGTTTTTTGTCGAACTATTTATGTCATTTTGTTTTCACATAAACTGACTGCTATGACTGACTTTGTTCTTTTCTTTCCTTGAGCTGCTGATGGTCTTGTTTTTTATCTGATTATTATTTTATATGTACAACTTGTTCTGCCTTTCATCATTCTTTTTTATGCCATGTTATTGTACTCTTTATTTCTTTGTTTTGAAGTGTATAGCAATATTTGTCACATGTTAGATTCAGAGTTTTGATCCCTAATTTCATAATGGTTGTGATGTTTGGCACACTTCCTACTCTTACAGGATATAATAGGTCTTGAAAACTATTATGCAACATCTGTCAGTGTTGCCTGAATTTTGACTGAAATATTTATCCTATACATATCTCTGATGGAGAGATTTAATTTGTAGTAAGTACATAGTAAGTCAGAAATGTTTTATATTTCTCTGGAACATTGATGATTACCCTCCAGTGTCTGTGGCTTCTGTTTTTACTTTTCAAGTTTGTTAATTAAAGTTGATTGAAGGGTGTGATTGGATGAACCCTCTGTTTCTCACTAGACTATGGGAAGTCTGAAGAACTCTACAAACCCGTAACAGAATTTAGGAGCTTTGTTTTATCTTATCATCTTTAAGTTCTACCAATTTTGTATATTAATCTCCCAAGAGATAGGCCTAACTTTATAGATAATACAAAACAGTCTTACTTACAGAAGATCCTGTTCCTGTCCACCCCTGATAACAGTCTTACTTACAGAAGATCCTGGTCCTGTCCACCCCTGACAACAGTCTTACTTACAGAAGATCCTGGTTCTGTCCACCCCTGACAACAGTCTTACTTACAGAAGATCCTGGACCTATTCACCCCTGA